GATCCTTTTCCCGTGTTTTACTTTTTATTCCAAGTTCCTTATCTTTTACTACAGTCTTGGGTAATTTTCATCGCAATCAGAAATCTGAATTAATGAACGTCGTCAGGTAAATATGGGGCAAACAATCGCGTTGCCATAGCATCGCCGCGGCAACGCGGTCGAGGCGTCGCCACGAAATGCCCTTTCAGTCCATCGGCCATCGGCCAATGAGACGAACCTTTTTCCGTGTTTTATTTTTTATTCCAAGTTCCGTATCTTTTACTACAGTGTTGGGTAATTTTCATCGCAATCAGAAATCTGAATTAATGAACGTCGTCAGGTAAATATGGGGCAAACAACCGCGTTGCCATAGTATCGCCGTGGCAACGCGGTCGAGGCGTCGCCACGAAATGCCCTTTCAGTCCATCGGCCATCGGCCAATGAGACGATCCTTTTCTCGTGTTTTACTTTTTATTCCAAGTTCCGTATCTTTTACTACAGTCTTGGGTAATTTTCATCGCAATCAGAAATCTGAATTAATGAACGTCGTCAGGTAAATATGGGGCAAACAATCGCGTTGCCATAGCATCGCCGCGGCAACGCGGTCGAGGCGTCGCCACGAAATACCCTTTCAGTCCATCGGCCATCGGCCAATGAGACGAACCTTTTTCCGTGTTTTATTTTTTATTCCAAGTTCCGTATCTTTTACTACAGTCTTGGGTAATTTTCATCGCAATCAGAAATCTGAATTAATGAACGTCGTCAGGTAAATATGGGGCAAACAACCGCGTTGCCATAGTATCGCCGTGGCAACGCGGTCGAGGCGTTGCCACGAAATGCCCTTTCAGTCCATTGGCCATCGGCCAATGAGACGATTCTTTTCCCGTGTTTTATTTTTTATTCCAAGTTCCTTATCTTTTACTACAGTCTTGGGTAATTTTCATCGCAATCAGAAATCTGAATTAATGAACGTCGTCAGGTAAATATGGGGCAAACAACCGCGTTGCCATAGTATCGCCGTGGCAACGCGGTCGAGGCGTCGCCACGAAATGCCCTTTCAGTCCATCGGCCAATGAGACGATCCTTTTTTCGTGTTTTATTTTTTATTCCAAGTTCCTTATCCTTTACTACAGTCTTGGGTAATTTTCATCGCAATCAGAAATCTGAATTAATGAGCGTCGTCAGGTAAATATGGGGCAAACCAGAGCCGTATATGTAGAGAGTTTGGCCATTCGTTGGGAAGTATAGGAGACAAATGAAGCGGCGCCATTGGCCGAAAGCGGGCTGGGCGTGTTCCAGGGCGTCTTCACAAATTCGAATGTGACCAACCAGAAGCCGGAAATAATACCCTGGCGGTGGTCGCGAGAAACAAACCTGATAACTGCATTGGAGTAACTCTCGATGGCTGAAAATATGGTACACGTGATGTTTCAATCACACTCATCTAAAATGATGGTGGAAGAGTGCGACTAGCGGAAAGATCGACATAATCCTTACGCCAAACGCCGAGCGCCGGGAATCTGCCGTCCGAGCGGTCACACTCTGTCCGCGCAAAACAGAGTTGAGCGGCGCATTCGTTTCTTACATCTTTCTGCATGATCATGATGAAACAACACGTGCACCCTATTTTCAACCACAAAGAGTTACTACATTTCACTCTTACGCACTTATTAAAACCATATACGAACAGAGACCTTCGATGATCGATCGGCTCAGAACTGTTTCTCGCTACCACCGCTAGGGGATTCTTTTCGGCTTCTGGTTGGTCAAGAGAGCATGCCAAGCCCTCTTTCCGAGTCTGCCACACACCCTGACTCTGCCCGCGCCTCCCATTGACCAAACTCTCTACATATACGGCTCTGGGGCAAACAACCGCGTTGCCATAGTATCGCCGTGGCAACGCGGTCAAGGCGTCGCCGCGAAATGCCCTTTCAGTCCATTGGCCACCGGCCAATGAGACGATCCTTCTCCCGTGCTTTATTTTTTATTCCAAGTTCCTTATCTTTTACTACAGTCTTGGGTAATTTTCATCGCAATCAGAAATCTGAATTAATGAACGTCGTCAGGTAAATATTGGGCAAACAACCGCGTTGCCATAGTATCGCCGTGGCAACGCGGTCAAGGCGTCGCCGCGAAATGCCCTTTCAGTCCATTGGCCACCGGCCAATGAGACGATCCTTCTCCCGTGCTTTATTTTTTATTCCAAGTTCCTTATCTTTTACTACAGTCTTGGGTAATTTTCATCGCAATCAGAAATCTGAATTAATGAACGTCGTCAGGTAAATATTGGGCAAACAACCGCGTTGCCATAGTATCGCCGTGGCAACGCGGTCGAGGCGTCGCCACGAAATGCCCTTTCAGTCCATCGGCCAATGAGACGATCCTTTTTTCGTGTTTTATTTTTTATTCCAAGTTCCTTATCTTTTACTACAGTCTTGGGTAATTTTCATCGCAATCAGAAATCTGAATTAATGAACGTCGTCAGGCAACGCGGTTGTTTCCCTCGTATTTACATGGCGGCGTCCATTGGATCGGTGTGTAACAGGTGAGTTTTGGAGCCCAACACTTGCCTGACTAAAGCGCGAAACACATGTACGACGAAACCGTCCGATCCGACGTCCGACCACGCAATACGACGGTCGAAGGCGAGTGTTTTCAACGCTCTCCGATGCTACAAAAACCCTCGCCCCCCAAGGTCATTCCGGCAGTACGCACATCGGATCGGAAGGTTTCGTTGTACATGTGTTTCGCGCATAATGGTACCAGGTGTAAACGTTCCCACCGGAGAAGATATCCGCTGCAGCGGGAGCGGATCCGCTCCCGGCGGCGGCGGCGGCGACGAGCGGGTTGTGTTTACATCTATTTCCTTTGAGCGGCGGCGAAGGCGCCGGTTGCGGCAGCTGTTCCCGTAACATCCCGTCAAATATGACGAGAAGGCGCGAGAGTTCCCACTTCGGCAACTCCCGGGCGTTGCTGCTCCCAGAAGAACGCGTACTCGTGACGTAGGCAGCGTCGCGCTGCGCAAGAATGTCACATCCGGTCAGCGAAACGCCTCGTTCGGAGGCAGATATAGGTCCTGGACCTAAACGGCTGGCCGCCGCGTTTTCCGCCCAGCGTTTCGCCCCAGCGGCAAAAGCTGGGCGGATTCGCCAGCGGACCCGCAAGTGTAAACGTGAGGAAGTCGGCGTGTGGTGGACGCTCTCGAGAGCGCGCCGGGAGCGTCGTCTAGAGCGAGTCGTCATAGCGCGGCATCGGAAAGCGAGCGTGCTTGTCGTCGTACGCACGAACGCTGAAAATGGCACCGCGGGTTGAGAAAGCCGTACAAGCCCTGCAGTGCTGAGAATGCGTGTTCGCATGGAAAGTTCTTTTGGTGCACCTATCATATCAAAAGTCAGTCGCGACTGTGGGCAGACGAAGCAGACCGCAGACACGGAGCACACGGAGCCTAAGTCTATCATGCTGACGACCGAGAGGCGAGCAGATGATGGAGGCTTGGATGGGAGCACGTCGGTGCGCAAGGCAGTCTGGGATTGAGTTGCGGCGTCGCTGAGCATGACGTCATGCCGGGGTATCTAAATGTCCTCGAGCAAAACGTCTATTGATAACAAGCTAACGCAGCCTAGCGGGGGAACGTTGCAGTATTTATCGTGTATATTGGGAAGACATGGGTTATTATTTCGTAAACTTTAATACAAACTGCGCTTAGTTCTTTGTAAGAAAAATAAAAGTTTTTTTTTTCTTGCGGGCGCATACCAGTGCTCAATTAATCAAACTTTATGAAAGTTTTCCAAGGGTACGAAGGTTCGCCGAATTTTTTAACCTCAGGGCCAACAAAAGTTACAAGTATTGTCTACCATTGTTCCGTAGGTGTTTTAAATTTAAAAGAAAAAGCCTCCCTTTCAACCTTGTAAACCAGCACCTTAGCTGAAAGATAGAGAAGAGCAAAATTTGTGGGTACAATTTTCCTGTTGTGATTGTCGTGGCTCTGCGATCGAAATCATACCTTTCACAACACATCGATGCCTTACAACCATCGAACTCGTTCCTTGGTTTACTGGCGTGCCATAGCCATAACATTTGAGTAAACAATCAGGCGCGTTGCACTCTTAAAACTTCAATTGAAAGCTAAAGTTCATAGAGCAAACAAGAAATAACTACCAAGTTTGACTGGGGACGGCCGCTTTGCGCGTGGAATCAGAACACTGGCTGTTGCGCCCCGCGGAAAGTGTACATTGCGCATAGCGAAGTTCGTCGGTTTTTCGTCGATTTTCCACTTCAAGGAAATCTGTCTTTAAGGATCGCGATCATAACGCCGATTCGTCATCGGCATCCAAGCGCCTGCGGGGAACGAACGCTTTACAATGTTGTTCATCCTGATCTTTGATCGCGCCAAGTGTGCTTCTGAAAGTGTTTCTACAGTGTTCAGTTATTGTAGAACATTCTCCGGCGTCTGAAGCAAAACGCCTGCACGTAAAGTTACGACGATCGTCTTCGACAAACGACGATGATTCGCCCAGAAGGTGGGCATAGGCACTCTAGCGAAGGAGAGTGACCCAGAAAATCGTCAGAGGCCAGTGATTTGAACAAAAACGCAACTGTTATGGATATAGTGACTCTTGGTCTTGGCTGTCGAAACGCATATTGCATTCTGTGGGCTATAACACACTCTTAACCAGGTCCCTAGTTCGGACACCGAGTGCGGCATTGAATTCCCGAAGTCTCTAGAGAAAAATCAGCATACCACTTTCCTTTCGCGCGTAGATGCATACGTGAGAGCACAGTCAGTAATAAGGTCCCTACGGCATGTTCAAAGTTAGCTGCCTCTCAGTTCGTCCGTTGACTGTCGGGCAAAGGTCACGAGGCACTGCGTGGCATGAAGGCTGAGTAAACAATTCTGCGAGAGCGGGTCGAGTGAAATCTTCCGAGGTAGGAGCCGGAACGACGGCGAGGGGCGAAGGGAGGGAGGGCCCCGTTTTTGGAAAGAAGTGCTGCTGGACCGCCTGCCGTCTCCGTGTCTTCAGGAACTCGAGAAACTGGGTCAGCCGGGAGGTGCGCGGCCGGGAGGAAGGCGCTGCTGAGAGCGGCGGAGGGGCACACTGCACGCTCTCCCCGATGAAAAGTGAAAGTGGCCGGGAGACCTGGCCAGACCGTCGCCCTTCCTCCTGCTAGGGGCGCCTCGACCCTGCCTCGGAGAAAGTCCACGCAGCTGCTGCTCCGGTAAGCTCGCTCCTCAGGCTTCTGCGCGTAAGCGTCGAACACAAGGACTGGGATTATTGCGGGTCTAGCTTTCTTAGAGACACGCTTCAAAATCTCCAGACTCTAGAGAAGAGAAAGAACTAAACGCTATCTAAAGGGGAGTCTTTAGTGAACAGGTCTCCTTCTGACTTACAAAATGTTATTAATAAAACCTACGCGTACGTGCATCTGTGCCAATGAGGAGGCGGACACTTGTTTTAAACGACTGTTCAAAACTCGCAAGAAGACGTGTTCAGTGAGGACACCCCTTTACTGGACTGTTATCAGTCTGCATTTCAAGCGTCAACGACCTGTTCCTCAATAAAGAGCATTACTTCGCTATGCCGAGGGATTAATCCTAAATTTCATTCGCATGCATGCTGTCGAACAAGTGTCGGAATCGTCGCATTGAGTTTCAGACAGTGGGCCTTGAAATAGCACGTGGATTCTACGCGGAGGAGAGGCTACCTCGCCAGTGCTAAGGCAGCTAGCTTAGACTATAGTTAACGTTCATCGCTCAGTATCGATTACATGATCGTATGTCGGTGCGTTTTCCGTCCATACCTGAAGCAGCAATCGCTCCGGAACAGTTGAGTTCTGGAGCATCAGATGTCTTTCCATGCGCACCAAGACACTGCGCCAACACACACGATCAGCGATTCGACTGCCTAAGCTACGCATTCATAAAAAGAATCTCAGAGTTACTGTGTTGAATCCTTTCTATTTTCTTCTCATTTACAAGGTTTTGACTCTTGAGCTGTCACACACTCGCACCGGACAATGAGAGAGGGATACAGAGAAAATATTGTTGCGAAGATATTGGCAACTAAGACAGTGTGTATGTGAGTCTCATTCGCGAGCGCCGTTCATTTATTCACGATATTATTTTTATTTGCCCTCTCGTTGACAAGCAATAGATCAATCCCCACGCCACCACTGCCGCCATGCCTCGTGGAATATGTACTCTTTCTGCACGCGCGACTACACCGCTGAAGGTCTGCGCGAGGAGAGTACGAGGCGGCACGAGCTCTCTCGTGCACTGAAGCCTGCCTCCTATCAAAGTCACTAGATTACCTCAGTTGTGGAACTCCCGCGGGAGGGGGTACTCCCCCCCCCCCCCCCCCTCACTCACTTCAGTCCGCCTCCCGCAGAGCCGTATATTAGGAGAGTTTGGACAATGGGCGGATCAAAGGCCGCCGCCAGCGCCGAAAACTCCCCCCGCGGTTAGAGCGTAAACTAAAGGTACGACACAGCGTCGACCAATCAGAAGACCGCGACGTTACAATATTGCAAACGACATTTAATGCAGTAAAGACAAAGGCCCAGGCGCGTGAGCCTAGCTCAGCGAAATGCTTTTGTTTGTACGAGAACTCGTGCATAGGAGGCACTTTCCAAAGCCACGCGCTCGTTCCCATGCCTTTGTCTGCGCTGCTGATGTTTGTGCAGATGGAGTATCGGTGATAGTTTGCCCTAGGCCGGATTGCTAGAACAGCGTCTCAGAGACTGGCTGAAAGAAAACAGTGGAAAGGGTGGGGCGCGCGAGCGTCTTGAGACGCCGAGTGCCACTCTGCTCGTGCGCTGGCTTTGGCAGTGCTTTCTTTCCCCGTCTGAGCTTAGACGCTGTTTCTAGCAAGTCGGCCCCGATATGGAGCGCACGTTCGTTTATTCTACACTTGAATATTGGCGTGACGAAAGCCTCACATTCCCAAATGTTTCGGTCACCGAGAGTTAAACGTTATCACTCTAGCGTCGCTAAAACGGCTCAAATTAATCGTGTCACAAATCTGGAGCTCATGCCCACCGCTAGGGGCTGTTTCGAGGCCTGTGGTTGGCCCCGAGATGCTCACCTATTCAAACCAATGTATGGCCAAACTCTCCCGATAAACGGCTCTGGCCTCTCGTCGTTTGAAGCGCCATCTAGATTTTTGTTTTATAACTGTGTGTTCGATAGGGTATGGTGGAACGCCATATAGACGATGTGCTTCGAGACGCACGTATCCCATAGAATACACTGCATTTATCATAGCAGCCGTCCGGCGCGTGCAACGACAGGAGGCGAGTCGTGGTCAGTGAGGGGAGGGGGGGAGGGGTTACTGCTGGAGCAAGCAGCGTCTATTAACAGTTCCGTAACTGAGCTAATCTAATAACGTCACCTCCTATGAATTCCAGTTAGGGCGTACTAGAATAGAGAGGTGTGCCGTCCGACGGCCATGATTCTGCCGTGATGTACAGGACGTCGGTGAGGGAGCTGGGGGGCAGAGCGCGGCCATTGAACGGCTGACAGAGGTCTGTGGTCGCACGAGATATGCTTTATCCGGCGTCAAAATGGTCGCATTCTTCGTCTGTTTTTGTCTGCTCGGTTGTGAGAAAAAATTAGTTCCATCCTATCTCACACCCTTGTGAAAAAATGTATTGCGTGAGTGGCAGAAGCTTACATAAAAATCGCAAATGCCGGCAAGGAATTTGAGTTACTCCTCGCTTTTTTTTCGTTTGGCTGTAATAGAATAATTGTGTCGATTTCACCTTACAAACCAGCGTAAGAAATAGAAGTTTGCGTAAGAAGTTATATGCGATGCTTTTCTCTCCACTTCACTTTCAAAACTCTCTCAATTGTTATTTCGGCAGCTGTACATAGTGCAGATCTGTAAATACCTATTTTTTGTTCTGCTGTCGAAACATTTTTTTTTGGGGGGGGGGGGGGGGAAGATGGATAATTAAAACCGAGTTTTTCTTGACTTTGCATCCCCCCCCCCCGGCCAAAGCTTACATACCAGAAAATGTTTGAATTAATGTCACCTAGCGAGCTTGCATAATATAAAAGTAAACACCAATAGTGGAAATATAAATGGAGCAACTTCGACTACTGTCTTTATTGAGGAGCAATCCGACTTGGAGAAATTGTTTTTCTCTGACATACCGCACAGGTCACACATCCTTCTTAGATTTTTTCCTTGTTTCTGCATCAGTTTTGTAATTGTTTTCCTTCAGAAAGAAACGCAATCGCGTGACACAGTACAATATTTTTTATTGGAATCGGACGATACCATTTTGCAAACAAAGTGGCTTCGCTCGGCGTCCGAAACAAGAAGTATTTCTCTTTGAACGTGTTCTAACCCACAACCGTTAGCTAAATCCAAAAACGAAGGGAGGAAATATAAGGCAGAGAGCCATCGATGCAGGGAACATGGCGGCACTCAGGTGCTCTTTCACCGCACGTGAAACGTTTAATTTTACTTTCCTGTAATAAAGTATTTTAATTTTTCTAAACGTTGTGTTAATCGGAGGAAAAGCCAACATCTCAGAAGTGGGATTCACCGAAACCTTCGTGGTAAAGCGATCCTGGAAGCCAATGTCGTCGGATTGCGCCAACGGTGATGCTCGCTGACTTTTCAACTGACGCTACGGGTAATGGCGAGCGCGTGCCGTCGTCGTGAGGTAGCAACTGTGGAAATAGGCTTCTCCTTGTTGGCCGGGGACTGCGTGCATGTGGACGCTCTGTCAACGGGGTTCATGAGTTACCGACGGCGGAAACGTGTCTTCGTGCTGTCTCCTGGGGGGGACCGTGCGTGCGGACACTCTGCGTGATGTCTGCAGGACTAGATGCTTAGCCGAAGACGAAAAGGAAAACTGTGTGTACACCTAAGAAGACGCCTAGACGACCCCCAAAGATGGCAGATGGCGACGGACACCAGCAAATAATTCAAGCGCTACTGGAACAACTTGAACCGAATGTTACTTGACCTTGTCAAGAGAAAAGCAGAAACGTTCTCTGTTATGCCAGACCTCAATAACGCTATTCGCGACTTCGACGGCGAAGGCTGGTCCCACGACGTCGGGGCATGGCTGAAAAGCATCTACTCCATGGCAGTCCTCCACGGCTGGCGGAACAGCTTCAGGCTGGAGAACTCCAGGCTCCATACGTAGGGACCTGCTTGATTTTGGCTTCAGGCCCGTGTCGCAAACCTTACTACCTGAGAGAACTTCAGGGTCGCTTTTAGGAAAACATTTGAGGACAAAAGAAGCGCAGCTGAAAAATGGAAGCAGATGCAGGAGGGAATCCAGATGAGGAGAGCGTCCACAACGGCATATTTCTTCGAGAATACCTTCTTGTGCAAGGCACTGGGCCCCAGTGTGCAAGATACCAAAGAGCAAGTCTTGGTTGGGGTGCAGCCTAGAGACGCTTGCATCTCTATGACGGCAAAGGAACACAGGGACGAGGATGAATTGTTGGCAGACTTCGCAAATCTGCCAACAGTTCATCTGGAGAGAATAAGTGAATCAAGGTTCAAGACGTCTCCAAGGGGCAAGCCACACCGCTGTGATCTAGGTGTCACGACACCTTGCGCCTGGCCATCAACCTCGGGATCATGGCCTACGGCGTGTCCAACCGAGGAAGCAAGCGGTGGCATACGCCTTGCAGATCAAAAAAGTGTGGCCAGGTGTTCATTGAGTCAGGGAAGCAACGTGGTACAACCAACGAATCAGGCAAGTACTGGATTACCACCCAAGAAAACACAAGAACCTTCCAAGCGAGATCAAGCTGAGCAAAAATGCTACGGTTACGGAAAGTACGGACACATGTCGAGAAACTGCCCAACAACAAACTCTGTTGGCAACTTTGTTGCGAATCAGAGTCCAACAAGTGACAGTGGTCCAGCGAAATTCGTGAAGACTGCTATCTATATTGCGTCATCGAGTGCCTGAAAAGTGAAACCTACAAGTTGTGTACAAGGCCCAAGACTTACATGGAACACCGACACATCTACAGTGCGGTCAATCGGAACCTCGGAGGTCGACATAGAAATTTTATGACGTGGAATGAAACAAGGTCGATGTGACCGTCCCCAAAGGCAGTGCCTTGCCTGTGGAAATGCTGGTCGGTAGGACCTGGACGGAACAAGACCACATAGTGTACCTGCGCATGGGGGTGAACTCAAGATTGGCTACCGAGATTGTATTCCGTTTTGTAATATCGACCTTGC